GTTGGCGTAGAACCCCAAATGTGCCCCCCCCCCCCCCCCGCCCCCCCAATAAAATAGACAATTTTCATAGGTTTAAAAAAAAAAGAACCAAGAAGTATAGCCGATTTTTTTTTTCCTTATTCCTGGAATAAATTATTTATTACGGTGCTTTGTGGCTTAACTCCAGCTGACTTCCACAATGATTCAAATTAATTTCTTTCTTTTAGTTAAGCACATGGGTACATCTTGGCAGAGGTGATCATAGTGCAGGATCATAGTCATGCCTTGCTTATTTTGCTCCTGGTATATTAGGGTCCCAGGACCCACTGTATTATTAGCACAGTGGGTATGGAGGAGTACTGTCAGCAAGCTTTGAATGACCTCTTCACAGGTAGGGAAGGAGAGAGTACGCTAGCTTAACTTGTTTGTTCTCTGAAATTTCTGTTACGTCTTGATCACATGTGTGATGTGACCTTGATATTTGAGCATCGTAGTATCACTAATACTAAGTTGATTTAAATTGATGAAATGTTCTTTTAATAATTTTAGTGAGAACTAGGTAGGGTTTCATTTGCTTTTACTGCTTTTCTTTTTTACTTCTTTCTCTGAAGCCAGAAAATAAAACAAAAGGGAAACTTCAAAAGCAGATTTGTCAAGTCGTTCTGGATCATTTTGAGAAGCAGTACACAACGGAACTGGGAGATGCGTGGACCAGCGTCAGGTCTGTAGTTTTGGGGAGATGGGGAGGGAGAGGTTCTGTTATTTTTTAAGTGCTTCATAAAATAACTTTGAAGAGAGTCATGGACTGTAACAACTGCTTCAGTTTATTTTCGGTTTAGAACTAGCATAAAAGCATTAAATAACCAAAGACTAAAACTTGGAATTTTTTAGTATTTTCTTTGACATGATTCTTTTGGACGTGATGAAGTTTCTGTTCTCCTGTATGCATATGCACTGCAAGGACACTGCCATCCGATGTGTTTGTTGACTGTTTTGTAAAAACACAGTCCAAAAAGCATCCCTTTATACTTAAGAGCTGCTGTTAGTTTTTTTTTTTTCCTACAGCTTTATAGTATCTTGAGAGACTGGGACAAAGGTGTTAGGAGAGAAGTACATCCCCTGATTTCTTTCATTAGAAGAAATTGAATATTAGCAACATGTACAGAAAAGGCTATCACTTAATTTGGGCCTTGATCACACAGCTGCTAAAGAACTGGCTGTGGTACTGAGAGAAGACATCTTCCCTTCCCTGCTGGGTGGTGGTTGTCGCTCATAGGAAAGCCAGCAGAAGAGCCCTTCTGGAGAAGTTCATTGCTTAGCTTATATACTTTTCAACAGGAATTTGAACAAAGGTAGTTGACTGTGACCTAAAGTACATGAGGAGTGCTCCCATGATTAGTGACACATTACTTTGAAGGGAAAAGCATCTTATGTGATCAGAGTCTTAGAAACCATGTGATTCCTCTGAGTGACCTCTTTGGTTTAGCCTGTTTGGATTAAAAAGTAGTTTAAAATAAGTGCCTCCATTGTTTGGTTGGTTGGTTGTTTTGTTTTTGTTTTTTTTTTTTTTAAAAAGCATAGATGTATAGCATTAGTGTAAGTGGATCAACTTAAAAACTCTTTTAGGTTGGATCAATGCGTATTTTTCTTCTAGGCAGTGAATGTTCCTGAGGAGTATTTTTTGAGGCTAAATGAAAAAATAATGAGAGAAATTCAAATAAAAAATGGGGGAAATCCATGTGAGAAAGGTTTGAAAAAGTGAACTGAAATACGAACAAGTGTGTTCCTACCATATAAGCACTGCTTTTTTTTGCTCTCTTCCAGGAATATCTATTCGTTTAAGTTTTTCTGGCCTAATGTTTGCAGAACATAAAAGGAAATTTAGAAAGGAACACGTGTAAAAACTGCATTTTACCGTCTTGGCTGGAATAACCATTGCAAAGCCAATGTGATTCTTTTTGTTGTGGTATTTACAACTAATATTACAGTTGTTCTTTGTCCCTGGGAAGTACTTTATAGTCAGAAAGAGCATTATGCTTCATAACTTATAATCTCTACAGTCATTTGTTAAAGAATTAGGAAAAATAGAGAACATCTTGTTTCTGAAGAAGTTAGTATTTTAAATGCAATAATTAGAGAAAACGGTGGCTTGATTTCCTATTAAAATTATTTTCCTGTGTACTTTTCTTAATCGTATCTAATCAAAATGATTCCTTTTTGATTGTACCAGAATCATCCAATGGTGAGATTGTTACCCTTAAGTAAGAAAAGGCTCCCTACGGTATGGAAACCTAATTTTTTTTGCTAAGTTATTAAATAGCTTTTCCTTTTTTCAATCTAGAGATGTACTCACATACCCGCTGTGCTGGCAGCACGCTGTCCTGCTTAACAAGTTCAGCCAGTCCGCTGAACTGGAGAACAGCTTGCGCGTGAAGGGGTATCATCCTGCCTTTCAAGGACCTCTGCCCTATCGTCCGGCATCGCTGAAGTGTTACATCAGGAGAACTCCTGGGAGATTCCCTGCACAAAAGCACCACGCTGGTAAACTGAAAGAGTATTATCTGCTAAATGCTGCTTCGCTGTTGCCAGTGCTGGCATTAGAAGTGAAAGATGGGGAAGACGTTTTGGATCTCTGTGCTGCACCAGGGGGTAAATCAGTAGCTATACTGCAGTGTGCCTATCCAGGTAACGTATTGCGGTGCTGTTAGAAGCTGATCCCTGGCTCTGTGCCTGGGCTGTTCCAATTGTGCCTGTGTTCTGTACAAGATTTGGATTGGGGGCAAAAGAACAAACAACAATTTATATTCTGAGTAGTTCCATGCTGTTGAGTAAGGTTTTTGTGAAGTCTGCTTACCTAAAAGAGGATGAAAAATGCAGTAGTTATTTAAATATAGGTTACTGCAGACTGACAGACAAAAGTGGAGTAGCTCTATGTTTTTCTTCCTCCACTAGTTCCCTTGTTGTTACTTCTCAAGAAGTTACTTAAAATCGTGTAGATTTCTTGGCGCAGGGAGGTAAGTAAATCTGTAATCTTAGAATACTTGCACTTTTTTTTTTTTTTTTTTTTCCTTTTCCTCTGCTGCATCTCTGGCCAGTGCTACGCAAATAATGTAAGTAAATTTAAGCGTACTGGTGTAAAACGGAGCATAGCAAATTAAATGTGCACGTTCTAGGAAGAGGGAGAAAGCTTATGATGAGGAACAGGTCTATGTCAGTATTTAATAAACTTTGTGTCTCAATTCACCTAGATGTTGCAAAAGGGCACTAAGATAATCACAGTGTTAAGAAGGCAACAGCAAGAAGCAGCTCAGTTCTTCCAGGCCAGGAAGTTAAAGCAAGCTGTGGTTGCTGAGAAGCAGCTCAGTTCTTCCAGGCCAGGAAGTTAAAGCAAGCTGTGGTTGCTGTTTCCAAGTTTATATGTTAGCTTGGGTAGTAATTGTCTTAAAATGTTCACAGCACCTTATGTTCTTACTGATGAGACCATTACTATAACCAACTGCACCTGTTGATTACAGCTGGTTCTCCCTCCCTCTTCTAGAGGAATGAGGTGATGCCAGTGAGGTAAATTAAATATGGATTGCCATTTCAAAAGGTTTGAAAAAACCCACATGTATCCCATGGCGGCTTCTGAAGATACCAAGTTGTTGATGAGAGCGTAAGATGTAAGGAAGTTGATTCTTAATATACCTCAGTGAATGCTAAGATGTACCATATTGTGTGTGGCAAACATGGTGTAGGACAACCTGTGGAGACATGAAAATAGAAATTTTATTAAATTAGGAAACAGGACTAGGAGGAAAAAAATATCATGCTGTGTTTCCCCTCTGGGTACAAGCAACAGCAGTGTTTCTTCTGAAGGGGTAACTAGTCTGGCTACATTGTTAAAAGTAAGTGCAACCAAAAGGCTTTTTTAAAACACTTCGAGCATAAATTTCAAATAAATAAGGGTTTGGACTGCTGGGCTTAGGATACACAAAAATGATGTTTTATTTATTTAACAAGCAATTAATTAATTAATAAGGGGTATGTACTTCATTTAGACAATGGCTCAAGGAGCCCAGAAAGGCACTCACTTAGCACTGGTCTTTGGATATGGATCATGTTTAAAGTTTCCTTTACTGTGGAAGTCTATTGTTACAGTAGGTATTTGCTAGTAAATATTTGTGGATTGCTCTGTAGGAGCACACTGAAATTTACTTGGGTTTATAAAAATTCAGCAGTGTTATAAAATGTGCAGTAATATAAGCACATAAGGTAATAATAATAGCATAAGCACTTAACATGACTCTATGGCAGTCATGGCAAAACAGTAGAACTTCTGAAATCGGTGTAACTCCTTATATTTGTAAAAAAAATAAAGCAGGAAAAACATAAAGGAAAACCTTATTTTAGGGTGTTTACTTCATTTTTTTAATTTTCTAAGGTCAGTTTCACTGTAATGAATATGATGATTTGAGGTCAAGATGGTTGAAACAGACAATAGAATCCTTCATCCCGGATCCTTTGATTAACTTAATAATGGTCTCGAAACTGGATGGTAGACAGATTGGAGATCTTAAGCCTGAATTATATGACAAGGTAATGTTATTACTTATTAGCAAATGATATTTCTGCATTCTGCTTCTTTTTCTTCCTGTGCTGCTCTCTTTTTAGTTTTCTTTTCTGGCCCCCACAAAAATATCTGACCTATCAAGGTGAACCAAGGTCATATACAGGGTTTGCAGAGCCTCAGGAATCACTTTATGAAGCCTGCTGCGCATTTATTCATGTGTTAGATGTTGTTACACATTTAGCCTTGGTAGTGAATTCTGAAGACCTTGTAGCTGTGTTCTTTGCATGATGTGTAATTAGGAAGCGGTGGAACAAGTGAGAGCTCTTCAGATAGAGGGTGCTTTAGGAGCAGTAATTTCTTACCTCTGCCCCGATAGCTCTATAAAAACATCTCAAAATAGTAATCATTTCTGCCGCTAAAATAGAAAGTAAAAAGGATATTCTAAGTGTTTGCAAAAGTAAGTTGAGTAGATTTTTGTCACACAGTGTTCAGAAAGTGAATATCTTCATGGTGAATTGTCTTATTCACTCTTGGCAAATTGTCTTATTTGCTCTTATCTATTGTGTAGGTACTGGTTGATGCTCCTTGTTCAAATGACAGAAGTTGGCTGTTCTCTTCTGATATTCAGCAAGCTACGCTTAGGCTAATGCAAAGGAAGGAGTTATCGTCTGTACAATTCCAGCTGCTAAGGTGAGAAGTGCAAAGGAAAGCTGTTAAAGGAGCTTTTCATAATTAATAAAAATGACATGAGGGCAAGATTTGTGATGTTTAGTAACCAAAACCAGGTTTCACCAAGGGAAAGGAATGTGAAGAATATGTTGTTGCAATGCTGTTTAGAATAAACAGTTGATCTAGGTTAATGTGAATATGGAAATTTATATGGGGTAATATAAGCAGTGAGACCTGGGTCCTCTACTACCACACTGCTGTACGAACCCTCTTAGCTTGCTTATTCAAGTATTATGTCCATTTTCAGATGGCTCAGAACAGTCTGGTACCACATCAAAATAGTTTTGGTGGACACAGCTAAAATGGTTTCAGATATATTCCTCAGCTGAAGGAAAAATGCGCATATAACTTTTGATAGTGGGTTTTTTTAACTATCTGTGAAAGTAGCCTATAAACCTCCCAAGCTGGGCATTCTTCCCCAAATTCGTTTTGTTGTTGTTGTTCTTTCACAGAATTATCCCTTACGGTTCTTTAGTACAGTCTTTTTGATAACTGAGATGTAAGTCAGGACTGGCTACCAGCTATCACTTAGGTCATTAGTTAATGCTGCTTCAGAATTTGCTTTCTGGGCTGTTTATATGAAGAGATTGAGTCCACTATTGCACGTTCTTACATGCTGCTTGAATTTAATACCCATTTGACTATTTGTAGCACAGAAAGACTACTGATCATAATTGATAGGGTAAAAATGTAAAAGAATGTGGGGCTTGGTGGGGGAGAGAGGATTGTTTGTTTATTTTTCAAGAACATCCACCCAGTAATCCAAATCAAGGTTGTTGTGTATTACACTTTTTAATGATACCAGCCACAGGCTAGCATTTGTGAAGCATTTTAAACTCTACAGTTGTTCTCATTGGGGGGGAGGAAAAAAGTGACTTCCCAGTAATACCTTCTAGAGTTGAGTGGTTTTTGCAAAGTAACAGTCACACCTGAAGTCCATCTGTCAAAGCAAATTGAGGGAAAAATAACATGTTATAAAAAAGAAAAAGGTTTTATGGAAAGTTCCCATTGCAGCAGCTCAAGATAGTTTTGCGTGACTTCCAGTTGAAAAAGGCCTAGCAGAAGCTTGTGATTTATAACAGAAATATGAGTATCTTATTGCAGTAATGCATCATGTCACCCATTTCCTTTGAAGAAATCAATCACATTTAAAGCACTGACCTGTTTCAGTTTTCCCTTTTCAATATTTGACATATAAAATCCAATTTGTGAACCCCTACCAAAAGAAAGCATATATCATGCAGAGAAATTTTGAGAATTTGCATAAATCACTCCAGATTGTAATCCTGAAGTGGAGAACTCATGACAGCAGGAACCTTGTTTTTAAAAAAGGAGATATTACTGTTAGCCCAAATCAGATTTAATTGAATTATTCCTAAATAAAGAAGAGAACTTCGCTTCTGTTGAAAGTATACTTTACTATAGCAACAGCAATAAGAGTTAGATTTGTAAGGACAAAATATTTTTGATATGTAAATTGAAGTAAAAGGATGGTAATTTCAATTTCATTGCTCAGGATAGGTCTGAGTAGTTCTGTAGATTGATCAATCTATTGTTATGTGCACTGGATTTTTTTTCTCTTTTAAAAGATTTTGGAGCATATGAAATAAATGGTTAGGTTCATGAGTTAGAGATTACAAGCGTTATCGGGTAAAATATTTGACATATACTTAGTAAATAGTATGGCTGTCCACTGTGTTTTTATTGTTCCTTTTATCTGATCACTTCAGAATGAATTTCCAATACTAAAGACGTCTCAGATCCCATGTGAAAGGGAAAAAGGAAATGATAAAATGAGACCAGGAAAGGCTAAATGATTCATGCAAATGCGTTAGAAGTTTGGCGAAACTAAAATTGTGGAATGCTACCCTATTCAAGCCTTTATTTTATGGCTAGGGTGCATAATTATAAATAAAAAACCTGAGTTTGAGTCCCGTCTCCGATACTTCCAGTAATCTTCAGGAAGGCTGAACCTATGTTAATCCAGCTGTACTGCATCTTACGTGAGTCAGCACACGCAGAGCTACCTCTGGCTTATCTATTCAGATTACCTGGTGCTTTATGCTCGTGAACGTTTCTCACCTGGGTTCCTGTATCTGTAAAACAAAAGTATAAAGCTGGATCCCAGCAAGGTTGTTGAGAGTAATGTAAGAAATATGGTGTGATTTGAAGATGAAGCTTAAAGTATAAGGACCCAGCATTATTTCAGTTTAGCAGTAGTATTAAGTATAAGGATAACACACAAATGAGAAGAATGAAATGCAAAGGGGAGTTCTATTTTCATTTCTATCAAATGACACTCAACATTAAGGAAGCGCTTCACTTGTAATCTGTTTTTCTGGGTTTGGTCATCTTGCTTTTTTTTGTTTGCTTGTTTGGTTTTTCTTTTGGTTTGTTTTTTTTTAGCAGATCTGCTTGGCGGGAAGCTGGGGATATCAGAGAGGAAGTGAAGGAAGGAAAAGTATTTTTTGCGATACAGTGTAATTTATTAAGTCCATAGAGGCTTCCAAGAATGATCTGGAAGAAGTGTTGAAACTGATGCAATGATCTTCCTATTCCAGTCTGAATAAAATCTGAAATGTAAATAAGTGGCATAAATGCTGAACAGCAAATTTTATAAGCAGTGAGGGCACCACTGATTTGAAGGAAATTGAGATTGTAATGATTGTTAATACCAAAACCAAAGCATCCCTGCTGAGTGCTATAATCCAAGAACACACTGCAAATCTTGTTATTATTTGGAGTGTTCATGCAGAAAACAAATTGCAAAGTAAGGAAGGAATGTTCATTTCCTGATACTGAATGCTAGCACAAAATGCAGTGGTTCCCGTAAGTGAATTTACCAATGTTATCAGTTCTCAGATAGAAATTAAATTTTGGGTTAAGCTTGAGTGCATAATAACTTAATAGTGAAACGGTTACGGATGTTGTAATTATTCCTAGACCAGTTACTGCAGCTGAAAGAAACCGTGTTAGGGTTCAGCTGAAAATAAATCCAACAGCATACAATTTAGAAAATGCAGAAAAGGCATTCGGGCTACTGTAACTCTTCTATACACAACATTTCTCAGTAATTAAACAGTGCTGATTGGTGTTCAATAGAGTTCTGGTCCGCAGGAGCTCAGACTAACTTTAAAAGATATATATTGGCTGACTTTCCTTTTTCACCTCTTTTTCTCCCTAGTAGTTAGCTACAAGGGAGGTTGTTTTGAGTACCTAAGACATGCACACACAAAGTTAAGAGATTTGGGGGAATTCAGGGTGCATGAGAAGTTTGAAGTATGCTTTGAATTACTGGTGGCAAAATAAGCCATACAAAATGCTCATTTTCCTAGTTGATCTCTTTTGAGTTTTATGCCTTCTCATTTTCCAGAATTGAGGATGAAGCATTAAACTCGGCTTGAGAAATCCAGAAAACCCTTTATTCTTCCTAGTTAAGGAAATGTTTCAGTCCCTGCTTTGCTTATAAATACGATTTTTAAGGAACTGTGTCTGATTCTGTATAACATACGTATCTCCTTTACAAACCCTATGCAAGTGGAGTGCAATAGTGAGATAAAATGAACGTTTCCTGCTGTACAAAGAACTTTTTTGCTTTGGATATCAATTATAAGATGGTATTTGAAATTGCTGATCTTTTTCAAGAAAAGGTTACTAGAAGTTTTGAGTTTTTTTTTTTTCTTTTTTTCTTTCTCATTGAGTAGTTTGGGAGGCAGGAGGGTTGTGCACATACTTTTACTTGGAAGGAAAAATAAAAAAAAAAACCTCAACCCAAATATTCTGAACCTATTTTTCTGAATTAAAGGGTCCTTAAACCATTAGTTAATGTCATATGTAAGTAACCGGGTGCTGTGGAAGCAGCTTCATAAAGCTTTTGATCTGTGTTTGTCTTGCTGCTTCAGTCCTGGAGCAGAGACTGCTGATGATGCAGCCACTAGTATGGGGGGCATGGGGGCTTACCAGTCCGCACGCATGGGAAGTAAGATGAGACTGACATTTTCCCTTAAGTCATCAGGTAGAATTGGCAACCTAAGTCTCTGAAGGCTAATCTACACGCCACAGGGACCCACTTTATTTTCTACAGTCCAGACCTTTGAAAATGTATGTTTCTTAGAATAAATGTTAAAACTTTTGGTGAAAATGTAGGACGCAAATACAGCAAACCTTAAGTTACAAGCTGCTCTGTTTTCTCTGGTGTGTGAAAATTAGTGACATGGTTTCATAGAATACATATGGTCATAGATTTATTTGTTGAAAAAGAGTCTTTTTCACATATTGTGTAGTAAATACTGTGATTTACCGGAAAAATCCTGATACTCCTCCTCCTGCCTTCAGTGTCACCTCTGTGTTTTCACTGAAATGTAGTTTTCCACATTTACCTAGAAGAGGAATTGTGTGCTCTTAATTGTGGGGTTTTTTTGTTGTTGTAGAGTGAAGGCAAAAATTTCTTTTTATAAATATGTCATCATATATTTAGCCTGTGGTACCGCAGTACCGTTTCTGCTTTGATTAAGACAAAGGCCTTTATAGCACATGGGCATGTAATGATGAAGTAAAAAGGAAGATACTCTCAATTAGCTAGTTGTCCTGTCCAGGCACAGTGATTCAGTTTTGTTTGTGGTTTGCTACTGATGAAAAAAATCTCGACCTTTAATGTTCATTGCAAAGGCAAGGGAGCCAGTGACTTGAGCCTTTAAAAAAATTTACCATTGTAGAAGTTGCTTGAGTTTTAGTGTCAGGCATTAAAAGGATGGCAAGGCTGAATGTTGTGGGGGAAGGAGAAGCACGAGGGAGTCCCTTAAGAAATACAGTGGCCGTCTTATGCCGCAGATTTCCGTGTCAGAGTATGCTGGACTTTTGCGCAGAAGCTCCCTCAGGGACATTCTGGAGTGACCTGAGGGAGTTCTGAACCATGGCACTGGAGGGGGAGAGGTGAGCTAAGGGAGGCAGTGAAGTGGATG